GCCGCCCTGCGGCTCCGATCTGCGCTGCGCCCGAGGCCGCGCGCTGCCCGCTGCAGAGCCCCCAGCGCCCCCCGCGCATTCGCGCTCGCTCTCACCTCTCCTGAGCGCCACATGTCGTCTCTGGGCTGGAGGAACGTCCCTCTGCAGAGGCGCTCCGGTAGAGGCCGCCAGACGCTCACCAAACGCGCCCTGGGCCAGGCTCAGCAGAGGGGGAGGGCTCCGGCCCCGCGGCTTGGCCTGGTTTGGGATGGGCCATGTTTCTGCTGAAGTTTCTTGAGGGCCTGCAGGGCCATATTCGCTGCGCCCTGCAGCAGCTAGGATCCCGCTCCGCAGACCAGAGGTGGACAGGCGGCCAGCGGCCTGTGCGCACCGCGAGGAGGCAGCCGCGCCGAGACTTCCTCTCCGCCAGCAGGCTCTGCGCCTCCCTCACCTGGCCTCCGGCCTCCCTGTGCGTCCTCCGCGCGCATTCCCTGCAGATAGAAGCGGCGCAGCACCCTTGCGGTCCCCTTCACAGATGGCGACTCAGGCTATGGGGGAAGAGCCGGGAACACTGGCTCGGATCAGCAGGGAACCCTTACCCAGCTGCAGCTGCAGTGAATGGAGCAGGGGGTGCGGGGGTCGCAGGCTCCGTTTCTCCGCAAGAACCTGCAGGATCTATAGGGCACGAGGCGGACAGAGGCCCTGGGCCTGCAGATGGAGGACCTGGTCCGTGTTGAGAGGCAGGAGCGCCTCCAGGGAGCCGTGCGCACTTGGGGTTTTGTTATTGTGACTGTCCCTCACCCTGGGAAGGGAGGATAGCACCGGTGACAAGCGGCAGAAAGGGACCCTTCCAAGCAGCCGAAGAAAGACAGGCGCTGAAGCAGCTGGCCCTTAGGCTCAGGATCCCCGTGTCTTGTTCCTGGAGGCGGAAGCTTCGTGACTAGGAGACACCGGGAGAGAAACCCCTCTGCAAATAGGAAGGGGCTTCTGTTCACAGCTCGGGAAAATGCATGTTTACAGTAACTTTTAACAGATAAGGGGCAGGGCAAATTTCTAACTCTCCTCTAGGAAAGATCATTAATCTCCCGTGTCCCACGTCCCCAGTTTTCTACTTGCCTCTGGGACCACATACTCCAGGTCCAAACTGTCTGCAGTACAGCTCGAGCCAGACATACGGGTTTTCCGAAAGTTAGGAACTATAAATACATCCCAGACACAGGACATAAATATCTAGAAGTGTACGCGTACCCTGGGAGGGCTTCTCTGAATAGACAGTGAGCCGCAGTACTCAGTAACTGCTTCCAGTGGTTCTTCATGAAATATGAATTAGATAAGATGCTCATTTGAAAGGCTTTTCTAATTTTAAAATGGGTAAACTGAACATACGCATTTTTTTCATTTTCTGATTTCTCTAGAGACGTGTCATTAAGGTAAGGTTCCTGGGCCGTCAGCATTACTGCAGTCCAGTTACTGGGCGCGCACAGTACGCTCCCTGTGCTTTTCACCTACTGGCTGTCCAAGGCCAGCGCCTTACCCACCACGCCACCTGCCGGTGGGAGAATACCAGTGAGAGGGCCAGACGGGGATGCAGTTGCAAACGCCATGCTCTTGGAGGCATTCCTATGTGGGAAGGTTTCAGGTTCAAGACCAGCCACGTCTGAGTACATAGGGCACACTTTCCCTGTCACCCAGGGCTGGCTAGGTTGCGGGCTGAGGCCGGGGTGGATTACAACATCAACACTCCATTGGAGACTCTGTCTTTTTTTTCTCTCTCCTAGAAGAAAGAAATAAGCTTAAAAAATACCAGTGGGGGAACCAGCAGTTAGCGTAATGGCTATGTCGCTGGACTCCCATGTAGTCGACCGCAGTTCGTGTCCCGGACCCGGTGGCTTAAAATTCACGCCGGGCGCGTGTGCATGCGTGCCCAAGATCCTGAGAGGAGAATGGAGGAGAAGGGATTGCGGCGTGACCATCCCCCCTGGGGGGTGATTTCTCGCTTTCTGTCTCTATGTCTCTCTCTGTCTGTCTGGCGAGCGCACGCGCCCTACAGTGAAAATCTCTCCAAAAAAAAAAAAAAATACCAGTGGTAGCTGCTCTTTTTTCAAGACTAAACAGCATAATGAAAATCAAAGAGTTCAGATAATTAGTGACTGTAAAGGTCTATAGGTCATCAACGAAGTTGATCTATATTTTGCAAACAAGAATATAAACACAAGGGAGTTTGTGTTTGTGAGAGTTGTCCATATTGATTGTTACTAACGTAAGAAATCTCACTGCATGTTCTTTTGGCAAATGTTTCAAGTTTCCCGTTTGGGTGTGTCTCCATGAGTTTCAGTCACCGCACATTACTGAACATGGGAAAGTTCCCTCGGACAAGATTCTTTAAACGTGTCTTCAAGCCTGTCATTTAGATGGTTTTGCCCTCTCTCAATGAAACAGTGTCCCAGCCCCTCCCGAGTGATGATGTGACACAGGACAAGCCACGGTTGGGCGGCTGCCTGAAGACAGGTGAAATACTAGACTTAGCAGACCCAGACAGGAACTGACATTGCCGGGATACTTACCATTGTAATAACTTTTGTTTAGTGTGGAATTTATCGTTCGTCTGGAAGAGTAATAGCCATTCGGCTGAATTCCATTTCTTCTATTAGCATTTAGCATTTTCCCTCTTTTTATTTTGTTTCTGATTTGCCAGAGGGCAAGTGCTCCCCAGGGAGACAGAAAGTGAGGAAGCGCATCCCATGACATGGCCACACCACCATCCCTTCTCCCTAACCTCTCCCTTTTTCCAGGGTTTTGGGAAAGCACACACATGCACCTGGCGTGTACCTCCAGTCGATGGATCCAGGACTCGAACCGCATGGTCGGCCATGTAGGATCCAGCCTCCTTGACAGTAGCCACCAGGCCACGGGCTGGCCTGAGCACTGTCCACTCTCA